GGGTGGGGGGGGGGGTGGAAATGTGTGTAAAGAAAAGTAGACTGAATTAATCAACAAGTCAATTAATTGCAAGTAACTTTCACAGTGTCTTTTTTACACATGCAGGCAAGCGTATGTAAGCTTACAGCCTTAATAATAATCATTTACCAAAAGGAAAACATAGTGACAGTAAAGTAATTTTTTTCTTTGAAATTTGATGTCAGGACATTTAAATAAATGTGTTTTGTTTTGTTTTTCTTTATATGCTTCTGATAATCAGAAATAATCATTTAAGAGCATAGTTTTACTTGTTTATTCTAGGCTATTTGATTTTTTCCTGAATTTTTCTCAGGTTTAGGTAGAAAACAGTATCTAGTAGCTTCTAAAGATTCTTAGTTTTAGATTCTCATGCAATATAGAGTGCAAAAAAACCTGTGTGCATGTGTATACAAATGTATCAATGTGTACAGATGCCCACATAATTAAATGGTCCCCTGATGGAGAGAGGTATGTGACCGTGATAACAAATAAAGTGGATATCTACAGACTTGACACAGCTTCAATCACTGGCACTATCACAACAGAGAAGAGAATTTCTTCACTTAGATTTATTACAGTAAGTACAAAAAAGAAAGGTGCTGGGAAACTAACTGGTTTGAAACACATGAAATTAATCACGCTTGCATTTCTTTTTTCCCATTCCAAGGATTCTATCCTTGCCATAGCTGGAGATGATGAAATTATAAGGTTCTACAGCTGTGACTCTCAAAAATGCCTGTGTGAATTTAAAGCTCATGAAAACAGGTATTCTGTATTTGTTTACTATTGAAATATTGATGGCAATGCTGAGTACTCAGTAAAGTTCAATGACTTGTAATGTTCAGCATATTTTACTCTTGTTTTTGGTTTAGTATAGAAAGTGAGTTTACTTACATGCTAAATTCCAAATTTGGGACAGACTTGTTTGCTTTTAGTATGAGCACAAGTACTGTGCTGTCCTTACAAAAACAACAGGGTACAGAATTAGAAATATTACAGTTCTAAATTTATGAGTGAGTGTTTTTACACACACACACACGCACGCAAAACCATCTTAAAGAATGTTTATCGAGTCTTTACGTATTCTGATTCTTCAGAATGCTTAAATAAGCCAAACCAGTTGTACTCAGTCCAGACAACAGGAGGGGGTAATCACATACTCTCTGTTGTCGTCAAATACCAATACTTGTCCAAATGCCGCTTTTAATTCATCAGAACAGAAAAGCATTAGCTACAATGTCATCAATGTGATTAATAGTGTGTGCGCAGAAGTATTAAAGTGTTCTGAATGGAATCCTAACAAGCCTAGCAAAGGCAAGTGTTCCTACTGTAAATGACAGCACTCAAAACACATTACCCTTCCAAGTTCCTGCCTGTCATTTGTGGGTTTTCTCTTCAAACTGGTTCTTAGACTGTTGCCTATTCATCTGTAATTTCTGTCAGCTTACTGTTCTGAAGTGAACCACCATGCTATAAAGTAACAAAGTATTGCATTTTCTTCCCAGAATAAAAGATATCTATAGTTTTGAGAGAGAAGGACAACGTGTTATTGTCACTGCATCCAGTGATGGTTACATTAAAATGTGGAATCTGGATCTTAATAAGGTTGGTCTATTAAACTGCTTGTTACATTTATGGAAAAATATCAGACAATCAAAATGGCAGGCAGTTCTGTTATAAAGATTAATTTTAAATCACTGAGGAAAATTTACTTGAAATCTGGATGTCTTGATCTTCTTCCATGTTATGTTCAGTAGAGATGTATATGTCTCTGCACATATTTTTACGCACTTGTGTGTTTTTGTAATTTTTTTTAGGCAAACTATAAAATCTGATGATATTGTGGAGATCTCATCTCCCCTTTATGTAGAGTCATGCTTCCCTTCAGACCTATCTGGCCAGACTTATGAGTATCCAATTATTTATGTATGTTTTAAGGACTGTTGTGAATTTTTGTAATGTTGATGACTGTTGCTACTCTTCTAGAAACACAAACTCTATAGTTTGGGGGGGTGTTCACGTAGGGGGAAAAAGTACTTTTGAAAAATTCACATTAATGTACTGGGTACTTTTATTTCCTGTATTTTCAAACAGTTCTGAGTAACACAGTTCAACAAGGAATCATGCCTTTCCTTTAAAGTTTCCCATGTTTATTGTTTGTTCTGGGGTTTGTATTTTAAAATCAGAATTAGATTTTTTTTTAATTTAATGCATAGTAATAAAGGATCTACTATATTTCACTATTAAGTATCCTGAATAGTTCAAATAAATATCTCTCAACGTTTATACACTTTATATATCTCATCTGAATTTGTCCGGTTTTAATTTCACCCCCTCTGATTATTTTTACACTTCTAAGTGCAGTAGTGAAAATCCCTCTTTTCCCTTCACCTCAAATTTCTGTTGCCCTTGTGCATAATTGTCATAGTGATCAGGGAACTCTTCACCTTTCCCTGTAACACTGTCTTTATTTTGACCAAATATGTGATTTTCTCCCTGTGCAGGCAAAATTTTGTAAAACTTTGTATAACTGTGAGGGCAGCTCTGTCCAGCTCTGTGAGGTGGACTATCCTGATACAAGTATTTTCTGATGGGTTGATGCTGTTATGCTGCACATGTGTTTGTGACACTTTTATCTGCTGATATCTGTCATAGGATACTTGTTCAAGTATTCCCAGAGCTGACTGATACAATTGCGCAGTTAAGCAATTTGAAACACACTCTGAAGAGATTACTTTTAATCAGCAGCCTTGTCTTTGTGAGGGAGAAAAGGAATCTGATGCAATAACTAAATTCAAATTATTTTAGCTGTACCAAAAAATACCTGTTACTCTGGAGAAACTGCTGAAACGATTACCGATTTTTTTTTGGTGGGTCTGTGACTCATCTAGTTATTCCTCATGTTAAACACTTTCTCACTTCAAATACTTCAGTAAATTTAAACAGAAATAAAATAATGTTTAATTAATCTTCTTCTATATTATCTTCAGATTAAAGATGTGCCATCTTTACTGTGTGAAGTCAATACCAAAGCTAGGCTGACATGCCTTGCAGTATGGCTTGAGCAAGCTTCAGAAACGAAAGAAAATTCTGATAAAGCTGCAACATCATCTCAAGGTAACAGAACTGTGTGTATTTTTGGTTGTTAATGTGACTGTGAAATGGAATATACCAAGTGGCAGGTTTTTACTATATGCATTGGAAAGAGTTAGCGTATCTTGAAGAACTGGGGATATGATGCTGGCAAGTGATACAGATATCCTTACCAATCTGACAGCGTGTCAAGCCTGCATGGATGTTGGAGGACTGTTTTGCCAATGGACGGGGTCAGCACACAGGACACAAACACCAAGTTAACAAAGTTAGCTTATCTTTACTTACGTTTAAAGGAATAAGATAGTAAGGGAAACAATACAACAAGAATGAAACAGAACAGGGTAATGCATCTAATCATTACTACATAAGGTTAGCTATAGTGATTAAGAAAGATACATCACCAATTGCCCTAATACTTTACCGTCATCCAGATCCGCAATCGCTGGGGAGCCCCGGATACAGCAAGGATTTGGAGAACCTGTCCCGGCAATTGGGACATCCTACGCAGTGCGCCCACTCGTAGGTGAGGTCTCCAAAGTCGCTGTAAGAGGGTCCAGCTTTTATACAGTTGAATAAACATCTTGCAAAAGTTCAGGTGCAGAAGCATCTGGTTTCACTCTCGTTCTAGATTCCGCACAAAGCTTGGCCAGGGCTCAAGGAGGAACCAAGGGAGCTTCTTTATCTGTCTGGCTTTGACCACGTATTTCTAAACAGGGCCAGACAACTGGTTTCATGGCCTTGACAACCTGCCTCCAAACAGGAAAGCTGAATATATTCTTATGACATTTATCTTTACTAATGATTATATTTTAGCTGAGCTACATCTTTTGCTAATGATCATACATATTTCGCTAATGATCAGATACTCGTATTATACAACATTTGGTTGGGATGTTCATCTATAGGTCAAATTTGTTTCAGGGCCTGTTGCTCAGGCCTCAGTACTTCAAGGACATAAGCCTCTCTTCATTTTTGATATATGAAGGTTTTGTTTCTCTTTAGTGGAATAACATACTGAGGAAGCCACTGTGAAGCCTTTCAGACAGATAAGAAAATAATAAACCGTTTGATAGAACTGCATGTCTTGTTTTCCTATAGACAAAATTAGGTCTGAGGCCATTGTAGTTGGGCAAACTTAGGAAGTCTGGCTCAGTATTGTGGGTTTTTTTGCTGTTGTTTTCCTGTATCATAATCTACTTACATACTTGATCTTTAGGTATTTTCGTACTACAGGCAAAACTAGCACAAATGGCACGTTCCACTGTAAATAAAAAATCATTTGTAACCCCTTTTTAAAAATGAGATACAAATAAGTCTCTTCTGCCATTTTAGACTACAAAGACTGGACATAAATGTTGGTGTGAATAATTTCTTGCCTTTTTTTCAGCAAATGAAGATGAAAAATCA